ATAGCATATACCGAGCCTTCTGACACCATGGTCTCAGTGATGTTCTCTGCCGAGGAAATGTCTGAAGCAGGAAAATAGTATAATGAGAAAAGTAGAATTTGTTATAGCATATACTATAACATTTGAATTTCACTTTAACAAAAAATACAGAATTCATGTCTTAAACACTGCCTAAAATAGGGTCTTCATTCAAAGGGCTTTTACTTTATAGGTAGAGACCTATACCCAAAGTGGATAGCTTGCCAAAGCATTGTATTACTGTGACTTCAAGATAAGGGAGAGAGGAGGCAAAGTAACAAGACGAGAAAAATGAATGAAGTATGCAGATTAAATAATGTAAGAAAACAGGGGGGGGGGGGGCACTGATTTTGAATGTAGGAAGGAAAGGGAGAAGGAGAAAACAGTATACTTACCCTTGCCAACATAGATTGCTCCATATTCTCGGCCAGTTGAAGTTTTGGTTTCAACAGTAAAGAGAACTTCTTTCCCGATTACCTTTTTCCGCAAGAACTCTCTACTCTCCCAGGCATACGGCTCATCCACTGTCTCTGGTGCACTGAAATATTAAATAGAATAATGAAAATTTTAAACCAGTATAAATAAATAAACAGGCATTTGAATATACATACATATCAATAATTACAAACAAATCTATTAGTATCACTCCTTCCCAATATAGAGAAGTAAATCCAAATTAAAAGATCACTTTTCAGCTATATGAAACCGTACAAATGCCAGAGGGCTCAGGGGGGTCAAGTAACTAGTGACCACAGGTTTAGATTTGCTTTCTTGGCAATTATTCAGAATACATTCCCATGACTGATCACAAATTTAGTGGTATCAATGGATTCCTTTCACCACCACCTGCCCATATATGAAGGTCATTTACTGTAGAATCCCACATTCTTGGCCCCAATAGCAGGTAAGAGCATGAAAAGTATCAGGAAAATTGCAGGGTAAATTATATCAATATACATGTAATACCTCACAATAATAGACACAAAACAAGTCACTATATCATCTAATGAAAGGGCAGCTTCCCCTGCTACCTCCTTCCTGGTAGGCTGTTGCCCTCCAACCCATGAAACTGAAAACAAATAATCCTCCACGCATTCATGGTATGAGAGCGCATGACTGACATATGGGAGCACCAGTGCCAGAATCTGTCCTACCCTCTATCCTGCCATACATTGGTGGTGAATTCTTTGTTGTCCTGGGCTGGAGTTGCAGGGACAAAGTCACCCCATGGGAGGACTGTAGGGGTCTGTTCCATTTGACAAACTGGCCAATGATCTATCTGTTATTCATATCTAATCTCAATTTGGCTGGTACAATTCATGCTTTCCCTGCTATTGGGCCAAGACTATTGGCATTAGGGAGGTTTCCGTGGCATAATTTCTATTAACTTGTGTACAAGAGCAGGAGAACACTCCATTAGTACCAATATAATTGTGACCAGTTGTGGCAAGGTATTCTGAATATCTCCCAATTTCCTTTCCCTTGTGACTCCCAATGATTAATACAATCTAAATCTACAAGTAAATTACATGAAGAATTCAATCATACAATCTACTCAACTTAGACATTCCTGCAATAGACTTAGTGCAACAAGGATATCTACCCTATATTATCACTTTTCCAAATCCAAGTACATTGGCATTACCTGAAGTTGTTTGTATTATGAAGTACCACAAATAAATAACCTAAACAAGTAATCTTTAATACATAATAGCCAGTGAAGTATCAGTTGGGCAAAAAAATAAAATATAAACATCCACAAAAATTATCCCATTAGTAGACAGCAAAAATAATTTAAAAACTTTAGGACATACTTCTGATGTATATAGGAACAATTTTTATACCATCATGACTTTCAAACAATAAGCTGTACATCAAGGCCTATTATCAATGCAAAGGTTCATAATTTCTATTTCTGAATTTCTAAAATTCTAAAAATTTAGTATAGTCATATCCTTTTATAAAGTCACCACAATCTCAGCATGTTAAATAAAATGGATTTCACTATACATATAACTAGAAGTAACTGAGCAAAACCCTTTAAGATCCAGAAACAATAAAAAATATTACAATCATACTTGGCTGTTGCTCTTCTTGCTTGACGTGGAGCAATGACATTTGAGAAGTTAATTTGCCTCTCAGGAGGTGGTCCTCCTTTGGGCTGCCCACGGACAATGACAGCATCACCAGACAGCACCTGAGAATTGAGAATCAAGTAAGTTCATTTACTAACAACATACTTTGTCACTACCACACCCTATGTAACAAAACATTCTTATTTCATATTTCACAGACTGAGCAATGTAAATGAATATTTGAATGTTTTAATTACAGGTTTAGAGTAGGCTCTTTACTCTGGCAAATTTTCACATGGCTCAGTGGCTTGGGCCGAGATACCCTAATACTGATTTAGCATTTTAGCCTTTGAGCTTATCTGCATCACAAGTGATTAAGACTAACTATTCCTAGCACAACTGGGAAGAACTCTTAAAGGATATACCTTAGCTGGGGTGTCTACCTTACAAATTTAAAAAACCTGCAGTATAAGCAACTTAAGACCCAGATAAATCCATAGATGACAACTAATTCCCCTGTGCAAGAAACATCTGGAATCTGATAAACCATTGAAAAAATATATCAGGAAGGGATCAATGTTATCAAGAATATCATAAATAAAGCAGAAACTTTTTTTTTTTTTCACACAGCCATCCAACCCTGCAATTACTCTTCCTTATTTTGTTAATCAAAAAATTTATTCAATCTAAGTTACCATGACTGGGTGTGCTCATCAGGCATTGCCCGAGGGGAGGGTTGATGAGGGGCACTGCTCCCCAACACCCTCCAAGAAACATTGTCTTTACCTCGATATGCCCGGCAAGAGTGAGCTGAAACTTGGAAGTACCGAGTGGACTCAGGCTCGGAGTATAATTTTTCATAATTTGTCTTTTATTTGTGGTGTTACCATTCACGCCTGCAGATTATTTCTTGTACTGAAGACCAACTTGGTAATTGTTACAGAGAGCGACGCACCCTCTCAGAGACTAAGTTGAAAAAAATGATGTTTTTCTGCATGAAATCCTATGATTTCATCGATTTTTGGCGATGCTTCTTTTGCAAATGAATTGTTCAGGAGATCGAGTACCATTTCTCCATCTACGATCTTGATTTGATAGTCCCATTAGCAGGGGAGGGCATGAAGTATATCAGGGAAATTATGGGGGTAAAACAAGCTTAAATAAGAAGAGTAACGATCAAAAATGCGTAAAACTAGCAAAAAAAAAGTGCTTAAAATTGGCCAATGATACTCTACGGATGTAACCGCCATCTTTGAAAGTTTACGGACTGACGCGAAATTAATAAAAAACTACGGGAACCCAACCCACATTTCGGTAAAACTCTACAGGAATCCACATGTTCCAACCCCCAAAAACATATTGACCAACAAACCAACCTAATATATCAAAATAAATTGCCGTGACTAGGCGTGCCCTTCGGGCACTGCCCGAGGGCAGGGTTGATGGGGGGCAAGCCCCCCAACACCCCCCAGGACACACACTCTCCACCACGGTATGTACAGCAAGACAGAGCTGCATTCACACCGTAAAATAATAAACCAAATACCTTTATATCCGGAAACGTGAAACTTTTGTTTCTTTGTACTGTTGGCATTGCTTTGATTTTAATCACCTTTTTCGTCCTCTGGAGCTCTTGATGGGCTCAGATATAAAACTGGGATGGTTACTGAAGTCTAATTATTCTTCGATGCCACTGTAAAGGTCTTAAAAAGAACCCAGAATCAACACATTTCTCACTGGCTTTCAATCTCGAAATGAGCGGTATGGTGAGCTGTCAACCTGTGGCTGGCGCAAGTAAGTGTGAAACACTCGATGCGCAGGATGCGATATGAGGGTATAGATAAAAATAAAAATATGCAAATGAAGTATAATAACATTACTAAAAGACTCTGAAGGTATAAATGCGTACCAGCAGACACAGATAATTAGCCAAATATTGTTTTGATAAGCGCGTAATGATACACGGACTAGTTCGCGAACGCAAAAGTGCGTTCGTGGGTCAGTGTCATGTTTTTCCTCGCAAGGTAAACAAGCTCATCGACTTTGAATTTGAAAGGCGGCCGTGCGTTATATTTTCGTCATTTAGCGGTAAATATAATGCCAATGCATATTAAACTATAATCTATCCCCATCTATTTTTTCCGCTCTATAAGATGGCGGTGTCTATTTCCCTCTATCTACGCACGTCACTATAAGTAACTTATACCACCGACTTTTTAACCTCTTAAAAGAATATCATTCAATATGCTCTAACTTTGTGCTTACATACTGTAAAGACTAACCCTTATTTCAATCACTTACATTGCAATATGCATAAATCTCTTATAATCCTCATTTTCTAAGGTAAATGATGTAAAAGAAAGTAAGTATTAATTACAAAGTGACTGCACCCCTCTCAGACTATCGCTTATTCAGACACTTGTCAGACCTTGAGAGGAGAGCCAGACCTGTCTCTCGCACCCACCAGCCAATCACATCAAGCTTATGTGTGCTGCAGCCAATGGCGACTGCCTAACCAGCACGAGACGATGGTCTGGCTCTGTTGAAGGTGTCTAAATATGAGTAAGTGCGTATTGTAAAGAATTATCAAAAAACTTCCTAACTAGGGGCTCTGACCCCAGACCCCTATTCAATTCCTGTATTTTCTTATCAGGGCCTTTGCCCCATACTCCAATCTAGCTGACATGTTTCATTCCCTACATGGCATTAGTTGCATCTTATCTTAATTTCTGACATTTTTTGTCTGCAATGATAATTTCATATCAGTGACTAGTTTTCGACTATGATATTGTCATTACATTTCCCTCTAAATGTATACAAAAGCAACACTTGATGTAGAACTTTTCTTATTAACTAATGAAGGGCATACCATATATGTAAAGCTATTTCTTGTCATTTTATCTGTTATAGGCAAAGGTCACCTTATACCATTTGGCTGTATGAAAACCTATAACAAAGAAATACGAAAGTCCATTACTGGCCTCTGGGAGGTTTGGTCTTTCCTCGAAAGTAAGGTACGGCAACTTCCCAACAATGACTCAATGGCTGCAACTTAACATTGAAATGTTGAATTTAGTTACACACTACATTAAAAAGTTTACTTTGTAACCCACAATAGGCATCTTCAAAACATTTATGAGGGAGGCAACATGCCTTCCAGGATATTCAGTTAAAAACACTGCAAGTTCAGCAAAAATTCTAATTAGCTCCTGATTATAATATAGAAAATATTAGAATAGGTTTTACCAAATCATTCAACAATAGAGGATGTGACACCTTGTTGATGCACATGACATGGTTACATATGTTCGTCAAATACTTATTAAAAGTGTCAATGGATCAGTTTTATCCTTAACTATGTAAGAGCTTCCTCTTAACAGTATACATACAAATAAACATGATACACTTTAAATATCTTGTTTTAACTTTAAATCTTCAATTTTTGTATGACCTACATGTGCAAGCCATTGCAATCAAAAACTTAGCAATAATGCAATCAATAACTTAGCAATAATGCAATCAATAACTTAGCAATAATGCAATCAATAACTTAGCAATAATGCAATCAATAACACAATGCAATAATGCAATCGCAATAATGCAAGCAATCAATGCAATCAATCAATAACTTAGCAATAATGCAATCAATAAGCAATAATGCAGCAATAAATGCAATAATGCAATCAATAACTTAGCAATAATGCAATCAATAACTTAGCAATAATGCAATCAGCACAATGCAATAATGCAGCATAATGCAATCAACTTAGCAATAATGCAATGCAATAATGCAATCAATAACTTAGCAATAATGCAATCAATAAGCAATAATGCAATCAATAACTTAGCAATAATGCAATCAATAAAGCAATAATGCAATCAACTTAGCAAGCAATAATGCAATCAATAACTTAGCAATAATGCAATCAGCAATAATGCAATAATGCAATCAATAACTTAGCAATAATGCAGCAATAAAATAACTTAGCAATAATGCAATGCAATAATGCAATCAATAACTTAGCAATAATGCAATCAATAACTTAGCAATAATGCAATCAATAACTTAGCAATCAATCAATAACTTAGCAATAATGCAATCAATGCAATCAATCAATAACTTAGCAATAATGCAATCAATAACTTAGCAATAATGCAATCAATGCAATAATGCAATAAGCAATAATGCAATCAATGCAATAATGCAAATAACTTAGGCAATAATGCAATCAACTTAGCAATAATGCAATCAATAACTTAGCAATAAATGCAATAATGCAATAATAACTTAGCAATAATGCAATCACAACAATGCTTAGCAATAATGCAATCAATAACTTAGCAATAATGCAATCAAACTTAGCAATAATGCAATGCAATAATGCAAATAACTTAGCAATAATGCAGCAATAATGCAATCAATAACTTAGCAATGCAATCAATAACTTAGCAATAATGCAATCAATAGCAATAATGCAATCAATGCAATATGCAGCAATAATGCAATCAATAACTTAGCAATAATGCAATCAATAACTTAGCAATAATGCAATTGCAATAATGCAATCAATGCAGCAATAACTTAGCAATAATGCAATCAATAACTTAGGCAATCAAGGCAATAATGCAATCAATCAATGCAATAATGCAATCAATAACTTGCGCAAGCAATAATGCAATCAATAGCAATACAGCAATAAGCAATAATGCAATGCCAACCAAATTATGAAACAAATGCAAGAAATACATTTAGTAAATTATTAGCTAAATCTTAAACCAGTCTGGATAATCAAGTAAACAATAGAATCTAACATTGAAAAACAAAGGCAAACATTAAATGTTGCTCTTGTATAGCTCTGAACTGTCAAGCACGTGAATCTCAAAACATCTTTCTAAATCCGGTATCATATTCCGCCGTGAAAAACGTGTGGAAACCCACAATGGACTTGAGAAGAGGTTCAGGCTTCTTCGACTCTTATGCCATATGGATAAACAAAGCAATTCCTCTCACGAGAGAAAACAGGAACGTTTTAAAGTTTCAAATGGACACTATTGAATTTCAAAGTGAAATTACGTCGCCCTGCCACTTACTGATGAAAAACGTTCAATATCAAAATGTGTAACATGCCTCGTGCTTAGGAAATAACGAAACAAAACCCGACTTCTCTTTACATCTCTTGACCGACCCTAAACAATCATCGTTGCCTCATAAATGGAGAATTAGTGGCATTCTAAACGTGACATCGGATACTCAAAAAAAGCCCAATTTCCGGCCCAAAAGCAACTTTCCGGTCGGTCATTGAAGGCCCATCTGGCACACGGGGTCATGGACCGATGACATACTCGTCTAACTCCATTACCTAATTGTCACAAGGATAAATGCATCGATTTTGTGTCCACATGGCTTATTCTTATTATTCTTGTTTACATACACTTATTTCTCTCTCCTAACCTGTTTAACGATGCCTCGGCACACTTGTGTTGGATGAGACGCAGCCATGTTGTCAACTTTGGCCTGACGGAAGGAATGGTCACGTGACCACGCCGGCTGACAGGTCCTGCTGCCAACTAC